TGTAAGTCGTCCAGGAGCACTCAGTCCTGCCCCTTAACTTTCTATTCCTGCTTTGAGGTTGGTCCATACTCCTTTCCCCCGGACCTGCACAGAGCCTTCCACCTGTTCTGGCTGCCTCTGGTCGTATTCCCTGCTCTCCATTCTTACACTGCTTATCAGAGAGCTGTCTCCTCAGCCAAAGACTTTCGGTGAAACGCTGCGTATTAATCCCTTTCTGACACTGGCTCTGTTCCCTGGGATGCGCGAAGCTTTGAGAAGGCCTCCGTGATTTAGCCCTTGCCTATCTTTCCAGCCTCATCTCCAGCCACTTCCAACCCCAGACCCTTTCTCCAGTCCCCGGAAGCTTGTGTTGCTCCCCAAGGGCACTGTGCTTACTCTCCCTCCCTGCCTTTGCCTGGGCTTTCCTGGCTGCCCCAAATGCTCTGGCAGATTCATTTTCAAGACTTGGCTCTGCCTAGTATCGCTCAGGTAGGTAGTTAGTTGCTCCTCTCTCTGTGCCCCACAACCCCACCTGCCCTCTTCACCTCCATCCTGCCACTGACAGTCCTATGCTCTAAGCATCCACACTGAGTTCCATGAGGGCAGACACCCCAGAGCCTGGCACATAATAGTCACCAACACAAACCATGGATCCAGTGGTAAAAGCGCATGGGGAAGGGGGTGTGATTTTAACCAATGCCACGGTGGGCTGGGGTGTGGGCAAGAGAACAGTCAGCGGGACGGTGGGTGGGGCAGCAGTCTTACAGCTGGGGCTATCAGACCCAAGCCTTAGGGCAGCTCCATAATGATGATTTGTCCCTTTACTCCTTGCAGAATAGTTTTTAAAGGTATGTCTATATCTCGCCCAAATGCTGTGATTGGAAAGTGTCGGATGATTCGCCACTCAAGAGACAGAAAAAATGAACCCAATCCTCAGAGGTGTGTTCTATGGTTATACTCCTTCCCCCTTTAGGATGGGGCAGGCTGCAGAAATGAGGCTCTGGGGAGGGCTCCATGCCTGGAGGGGAAGGGACGGTTCAGTCCCAGTGGGGGAAGGCAACGAAGTACAAACATTTAGTGCTTTTTTTCTTAAGATTTTTGTTTTGACACCAACCTCTCGCCCTTTTATTTCTTATAGGTTTGACCGAATTGCACACACGAAAGAGACAATGTTGTCTGATGGTTTGAACACATTGACCTACAAGGTGTTGTACATGGAGAGATACCAGTTATATACCAAAATCACAGTGGACATCGGGACACCGAGCTAGCATTTTGCTACACTGATAAGAGACCTAAAAATGGCCAGGGACCTCTGCTGGGTCTCTGCCAACATGCTGGGCTGGTCCCTTTCATTCTTACCAATCAGAGTGATAGACCCCTTGGCTGTCATTCACATGCCTTTCCAGATGACCAGAACCAGTGGGAGATTTTGCCCCCACCTTGACTCAGCATGTGACTTCTTAGCTCTATGAGGTGTTTCTAAGTGTAGAAACTGTCAGCCTTTGGGGGTTCTCAGCATGTTCACAGTATCACCCCAAAGAATCAGAGCTGTATACAGCTCCAAATTTGGTGACTATGGGACTCGTTCCCGGGGTAAACTAATTTGTTGTGAAATAGGTAAGAATTTTGCTTTAAATTGTGTATTCTTATTACTTTATGAAAAATTGGAGTGCTGCTGAAATTGGATTGGTGTGATATTTTTTGGTTGTCATTTGTAACAGAAAAGCAGTTTCAACCATTCTCATTTTGTCTCTCCCCCACCTTCTTGTAGTGCTATACAACTGTTCCAATCACTGTGTGTATGTCTTTTCTTAGCAGAAGAGTTTTAAAACTTGAGCCTCAAACCTTTTTGCCCTGCTAATGTGTGAATTCCAAGGCAACTTTAGCCATCAGAGCAAAAGCCTTGGGTGTTCTCACATTCAGTGGCCTTTCTCCAGATTGCCTGATTTCTGAATGTAAAACTTTTTAAAAATAGCAGATTGAGGTTTGTAGTATTTTAAAGATCAAATTGAATTCTGATTACTGATCTAGCTTGATTTTGTGTTGATCCAGATTTGCATAGCTGTTTAGTGTTAAAACATGGCAACTTATTTTTCTGACTATGCTCTGTAAACTTGAATTTCCTATATATTTTTATTGTGGTGTTTTAAATGTGAGGAGGGGACTGAGCTTTTTTTTAGGGGGAAAAATTTTCTGTATGCTGTAGTGGCCACGAGCAGGCCTCTGATTTAGCTGGCAGGCCAGGTTTTGTGAAGAACAAAATCGCCTTTGGGTTTTTTGATGAGGGCAAGGCCCCTCAGACCTCCACAGGAATGCAGAAGCCTTGGCCTCCCAGGCAGGGCTCCCCACCTCTTTACCCTCCCCAGGTGGGCAGGGTGGAGGGAACCTCCACCACCTCCTTAGAC